TCTGAGGATTTGGAAGCAACGTATCCATATCAGTGCTAAGAATACGAGAACTGGAAGTAAAGATCGAAACAGCCAAGCATGAGAAGCACACCGGACGCACACCGAGTCTTGTTGACCAACATAGGACTGGAAATATTAACCGCGCAACGCTGATGCATATGTTGAGAGGGGAATCTGAGCGTCCATTGACGTGTCCGTAGTGCTCTGAAGTTAATCCAACTCATAACTCATAACCTATTGAGTTTTAACTGGTCTATAAAATATGCCAAATGCGCCTGCAAGCGAGGACAAGGGTCCTTTACCGTTTACTTGTCTTTTTTTCAACTTCTTTACCACCACCACCCCCCCCCCCTTTTTTTCCCTCGATGTAATATTATTATAAATTTATTAATTATTTACCCCGTATTTTCTCTCTGAGTCCTAAGTTAACGCATCATACGTTCATGGCTTCATACCTAGAGGCCCAATGAACGCATGATGCGCCGATTGAATGACTTTATCCCCTGGGCCTGTGATGCTAAACCACCTGGGACTCAAAGAGTTAAATATTCCTGGACTCTGTTACCCTGTGAGTTCTAGAGAAAAGACATTTTCACGGTTATCATTATCATGTAGCAGGTCTTCTGCAGAACGTCGCTCACATCACAGTCTGCCTGATAGAAACTCGTTCTCTCGCCAGTTTTTCCGTCTCATACACTTTCCTACGCTAGGTCACCATTTTATTTTGTGACCATCTTCGCGCTAGTCGACCTTTGTCCCGCTCTTTCCTGGTACCATGCCTTCTGCTTTTACTATTTTCTAATCCGTCGATATGGCCAAAATATTTGTTTCTGAGACAAGATGCTGTTTACTTGCCAATCTTCCTTGATGTCCAGATCTTTAAGGATGTCAGTATTTCTTGTCTTCTTTGTCCATTGCATTCAGAGAATCTTTCTATTGTATTTCAACTCGACAGCTTCTACTTTCTTCCCTGTGGACTGCGAGATAGAAAACGAATCACATCCGTATGTTGCTATGGGGAATATGCATGCTTTAAGAGTTTTGACTTTGATTTCCTTGCTGATGATTAACTGTAGGCTGAGTCATTCTAGTTATACATTTTGTTGTTGTTGTACATAAGGTGCTAAATATAACACAGAATGTTACTACAAAACTCAACGGAAGGAATGGAAAACACGCTAACAAATATAACTGAACGCTTCGACGAAAGTCTGTATCAACACAAACTGAGACTGGAAACCTTACAGGCAAAACAAGAGAGCTAATAAAATAAAAAAATAAAAATTAAACTAAGGTTAGCTATGAAATAAATCAGCAATCGTATGTAAACAAGAGGGAGAAATATGAATAAAATTAAATAAATGAACAAGTAAATACATTATTTAAATTAAGCTGTGTTGAATATTTGCTCTCCAGGACTAAAAATACCAATAGTATGAATGAAATTATTTTCTAATAAGTAGTGGCTAATTTGATCACTTGAGCATGATTTAATAGCAGTGACTGAGATATCGTTTTGGTCTTGGTGGTCAGAACTATTGAAAGGGCAGGAGACAGGTTTGAGAGTCTTATTGCAAATTGCAGCAAGATGTTCACGTAAGCGATCTTCTAGCTTCCTACTTGTTTCCCCAATATATACCTTTTTACATCTTTTGCAGATGAAAGCATAAATTAGGTTACGTGATTCACAAGTAAATGCTTCTCTAATGAGAATAAACACTTCAGGAAGCAGATCGACGAGGTTTGGATCGCAAATGGACATGTTTTAGATTTTGTACTGGAGCATTTGGAATTACCGAAAGGAATTGCTTTCTGGATCGGAGGCAGTCTGCATCTGAAAACTATGTTCTTGAGATTACAGTCTGGCTTGTAGACCATTCTAGGGTTGTTATTAAAGCTCTTTCGGGTATCAGGATCAGAGGAAGAATATTAAGGTGACGATAGAAGATTCTAGATACAGCCAAGTTATCAGGATGATATGCTAAAATCAGTTTAGGTCTACCAGGAGAAGGTTTATGTTTAGTGGACGATGCTTCTCTCTGAATGACAGATTGTACTTTTTAAAATTTGTTCTTAAAGTCTCCACTAGAATGTGTTCAGGGTAAAGGCGGACACGGAAAAGGTCAAGAAACTCGCGTGCCTCACTCTAGAATTCGGAATCATCAGAACGCTCGAGAAATATTGTGATTTAGCAGCCGGTCTGAGGAGAAACGTATCGTTCACAATACGGGTCTTTGCCGTCGAAGTGGGAGCGAGAGGTCTCGTCTCCACTTCACTGTACAATGTGGTGAAAGAACTAGGATTGCGCGGTAATGAACGGAAACGTACACTTAAAAAACTGGGCGAGGTAGCCGAAAGGGCCTTGAGCTCGTTTTGGACGCAATGGAACAACGTAGGGTACGGGCCTCGGTAAGCTGGTCCGGGTGTCAAGTGGAAAAGGGTTTCTCACCCCTTGAAAGTCCATCCTGTCCGAATTGGCTGCCAGTGTCTCTCTGCCACCTGCTAATAAAATTCCAACAGTACCTTCTGCAAAGCACCAAGTCGTCTTGTCCCTATCCGAAAGAAAAACACCATCCGGTAATTTCGTGCAGCAGGGTACCAGCCCTGAGCTTGATGAAGTCAGGTGGGCCCACCTCCGAAGGTGTCTAGGAATCGTGGGCCAAAACACTTGTAGACGAGGATAATTTCTACTGATACTGGTAGATCCCTGCTGTACTTGCTCCCTGTGAGTTTATTCCTATATGCGGGAGTCGCCGTGGCGAAACAGCTAGACGCTCACCGCGGATCGGAAGGTCGTAGGTTCGCTCCCTGGCGGAATTTGACTTTTTTCAAAAATGACTTTGGTTCCTAGGTCGACCAAGCTTTGAGTGGGTACCGGGTGTAGTCATGGGAAGTAAAGCCGGCCGGCGTGATACTAACCACACACACCCCCCCCCCATCTTATGCCGATTGGCCTATAAAATAAAGGTCTAGTCCGATACTATACGCCTAATGACGTGGAAAAGGTCCTTTACTTTACTTTTACTTACATAATGTTTACAAGAGAATCTGTGAGAGGATGTATAGAGAAGATAGTTATGAGAATCAGTAGGTTGATAATAGGCATAGGTGGTTAACAAAGGAAAGACGATGCTAACATTGATGTCCAAGAAATATAGGTGGACATAAATTGAGAGACAGACAGACAGACAGACAAATAGAAAGATGGATAGATACACTAACAGACAGACAGAACGACAGACAGACAGACAGACAGACAGACAGACAGACAGACAGACAGACAGACAGACAGACAGACAGACAGACAGACAGACAGACAGACAGACAGACAGACAGACAGACAGACAGACAGACAGACAGACAGACAGACAGACAGACAGACAGACAGACAGACAGACAGACAGACAGACAGACAGACAGACAGACAGACAGACAGACAGACAGACAGACAGACAGACAGACAGACAGACAGACAGACAGACAGACAGACATGCATGCTTGCATGCACACAGATTGACAAGACACACATGAAAACAAAACATACATATAAACTGATGGACAGATATGAATGTATACATATAGAGATGAAAACAATGAAAAGACCGATCAAAAAACAAATCGAAAACACACACGTGGATTAGACAAACAGACATCCTATAAACAAACAAAAAACAGGAAATATTTATTAAAATCAACGCACATATTCTGGTGACAATATATGGAGCTTATGTATTTCTCTGTCGTTCAGCTGTTGTTTAATTCAAATTTGTTTTCCTCCATTTTTCAACTGTTATTTAAATAATATATGTTACCTTCTTTCAGCTGTTTTAAAATAAAATATTTTCGTATCTTTCAAATTGTATTTATTTGATTTAATAATCCATCACCAAGCCGTGTTTTAATTCATATTTTTCTCCTTCTATCAACTATTATTAATCTACCAGCTATGATCGCTCTTTTATTATGTTTGACACCATCTTTCAACTGTTATTTTAAGAACGTGTTTCTCCACAACACAGCTTTTATTAATTTATATGTCTCCTCATCTCTCAGTTATTATCTAATTTTCGCCCCTATTTTTTTTTGTTCAGGTAGGTCTAAGTAACGTGTGCATGTGACAGTCATTTCTGATGCCTATATTTATGTGTATATATATATATATATATATATATAAACAGCAGTGACTTGTCTCAGTTTGAATTTAGAAAAGCATAGAGTCCAAGGAATTCGTGGTTTTTTTTAGAACCAAAACCAACTGAATTTTTAGACCAAACATAATCTATTTCTTCTCCTTCATTTCCTCTTTTACCTGTTCGAGTGTTGAGGATCATGTACAGGTCCGCTTCTTGCTTTTCTGACAGCCTTGTCCATATACATATCGTGCTTTTGTAGAGTTTCTCTGATGCTATCTCTCCCTCTTGTTCTTGGTCTACCTTGAGCTGCCCATCCCTCTCCTCTTTTAATGTATGCCTTAAATGGTATTGCGTCACACGCATTCTGCTTAAGTGGGCAAAACAGTTCGATTTGCTGTCTTTGTATGTAGTTTAGAATTCATTAAACATAATGACTGTTGAATGTGTGTCAAAGTTAACATTAATCATGCATTTACAGTTTCTAGTGAGTTAACGCTAGTTAAAACGAGTTCAACGGACCCGCAATGTGTCTACTGCGTCCTCCCTTTGCAAACATTACTAAATATTTGTAAGTTAACAATAATCGTGTATCTAGAGATTTATAGTATTTTAAAAGCTAACACTTATGAAAGTTAAAAATAATCGTGTATCTAAATGTTTTTGATATTTCAAAGCCAACACTTAACGCTTTTAAAATTAACAAAAAATCGTGTAGGCTATCTCGATTTTTTGTATGAAATTTAACAATTAACGCGTATACAACTATTTCTAAGATTTCAAAATTGACAATGATCCAATTTCTACAAGAAGCAATAAACCGTTTCGACCTAAAAAGTCATCTTCTGAAAACATAACAAATTTAGTGGTTTATGGGTTTTCAGAATTGCGCCCGTAACGCAGTAAAGTTGCACCTCCGTTCTCCAGCTTCCTATTAGGCACCAGTTTGGTCCCAAACGGGGCAAATCTGGTCTGAACGGATACTCTACTCCATCCTCGTTTACCCAAATCAGTTAGAAGAGCACGCAATGTGTTTACTGCCCTCTCCCTGCTGTCTTCATCTGTACGCCACTTGGTAAGGAGAGAGCGCCGCAGAGCTTCCCGAAAGGCAGGCGATGCCAAGTCTATCGTCATAGGAAGTTGGTCAAGAGGATGTAGCAAACCTCGCACTAAATTTTCCAGAGATTCTTTCATATCCTCCATTTCGCCTAACCGGTTTTCTGAGGGTGAAACAATGTTATTAACTCTGTCATTTTCCATTCTAGAGCCAAATGCAGAAGAGGGTTCTCGGTTTTGATGTTCAATGTTGTCTTCCGGGTTGTCAAGGTTAGTCTTGTAGGCGTCAGTGACTAGGAATGTGCAGTGTAGAGACACCAAGAAAAGGCCAAGTACCTGTAGAAACACAATTGTATAACGTATATGTTAGTTTTAGAAAAAACAAAACACACACACACACACACATACACACACAATATTATGCATGTTATTTCACACGTAACTTCTTTGTAAAGCACTACATATTTCACCTAACTTGTCGATTTACACTTTAACCCACACAACTCTTTTATATCATCGTTGGGAGTCCCTTATCATAGTGGCTGGCCACTCGCCTGTTGGTCTGAAAGTTTTAGGTTCGAATCTTATGGTGACGGATTTTATTCAAAATTGGTGTCGACTCCCAGGTCGAAACTGCCTAAACTGGGTATACGAAAACATCATGGAAAGTAAAGTCGGCCAGTGGGTTATAATAATAATCCCGCCCCCCCCCCCCCCCCCACATTATTATTAGTGGCTGACAGGCAGATAAAAACGAGAATTACTTGAAACAGTATGAAATATATCAATACATAATTTTAAAGGGAATTTTTTCACTGTAAGGGGAGGCGATAGCGTTCTTAACCTCTTTTTAAAATTATAGTGGTGGGCATTCAGCCACTTAAGAAGGTGGAGACCTCAATGGGCTTTAGCCCCTAGGTTCTAGCCAACATGCTACCCGACATGTAGGCAAGCGTCATTACGCCGATGCTACCCGACATGTAGGGAAGCGTCATTACGCCGATGCTACCCGACATGTAGGCAAGCGTCATTACGCCGATGCCACCTGATATAATAATGTGAGTTCCGGTAGTTACACTAGACAACAAGATCCTTGCTTCGACATGAAAACACTAATCGTGACCCATTTGGGGGGGGGGGGGAGGGGGATGGGAGACTGCTCAATACGAAAACGGCAATAATATTTAGTGAATATCTTTTAAGGAGATTAGATGATGACCGTCTACAAACTACCTGGCCTGCATATAGTCCCAATGTTCAGGAATAAATCCAGTAAACTATGACTAAAAAGATTACCGAAATGAGGGAGCAGAACAGCGTGCACGAAACACACAAATCGACGTTTTGGCCGACGCCTTTCTTGACATGATCTAACTACACAACAAATTACAAAGGGGAAAGTACTCTAACCACCAGCGACTACCAGGCGTCACATGAGAAACTATAAAAAGGTTATTTCGAATGAATAAAATAAAATAAACGAAGGCTTGAAAACAGAGTTATAAAAGTAATTGTACAACTCACTAAGTCCGGCACAGACACGTGATTGACCGTTCATTCATCCTTTCTGACCATTCACTCATCCGACTCTCTGTTACAGGGGCGTCCTGTTGCATAGTCTTGTACACTTTCACCGGCGATATCCCGCGTTCCATATTACACCATGTTACTGCCACTTTCAACGACTCCATAAGTGCAAGGCAAGACCTCCTTGTATCCCCCTTGCGTTAAGTTTATGTAAAGATCACATTTGCCCGCTTAAGAATATTGCAACCCCCCCCCCTCCACTTTGCCCCGCCCAGTGCTTAAATGGCAGGGAAAAAATGAATTATTTGGTTATCACATGCTAAAGCTTTTTTTTTTAACTGATAGTCTGCAGTATTTGATCGTAAGTGGAACAGTTCCAGTTTGGTATTTTTGACCTAGTCACGTTTTTGGGGGGTGGGTCAAGGATCAAAGTGACGTAGGGGCTATATTAAGATCCAATATCTAGATCATCTGGTGGCTCGCTCGGAAAGGTAAAAGCATGTTTACTACCTGAGACTATGTATAATAGTAGGTGAGTAAAAAATACGCGTGTTGTCAAATGCAACGTTGTATGCAAATTTTAAAAGTAATCGGTAAAGAACCTTCGGAGATTACCGATTAGGAACAAACATACAAACATGTTTATTCATATAAATTATGCACTTAATCTAATGGCATATACACATAATGTGACTTCTTTTTTCTAAATTACATTTACTTTATAACAAATGCTTAAAATGTGAACGTTTATATGTGGTTTAATCTTACAATAATAATTGTAGCAATAGTTAGACCGACATGATTTGAACATATCAACCATCGAATGCCGCGATTGGTCTATAAAATTACGAGGTGACAGCCATTAAATCTAGCCTCTACAGTGACAGAGTCCACAAGCCTCTTGAAAACAGCAGTATTTTCACCTTGGGTGCCCTAACACCCCGGGGACTGAACTATTAACATAGTTTCATCTAAAAGACTCGAGTTACAGCCCTTGGCATTCTACGGCTATTTATTTTTCGGCCCAGTCTGTCTCTTCATTTCTTTGGCAAGACATCACATCAACGTGGCTGCTTCTGGATACCTCAGTTAAGTAATGTTGTGTATTTGAGTAGCTTTGTTTGATTTCTTTTTATGCTGATAAAGGCTCTACAGCCGGAACTTTCTCGTTTTGTTTGTGTTTGTTGGACTGTGAAGCTCGCTGGTTACGTTTTGTGTGGTCTGATATAAAAATATGAGTTCTGTACCACATAGCTCCGTCCTCAACCGTTCAGGACTGCCGGTTACAGTAGGCTGGTGTTGCCTTTAG